GCTACTTGCCCAGAATCCAGGCACTAGGATCCCTGCTGCTTCCTGCTTTATCTTTACCCAGCACTTAAGGGTTTGATAACACAAGGTGATCTGGAGCTGATCTCTGTGACAGCAGCTGTGATTTCACAGGACTGGGGTGCTGCAAGGTGGCCTGTTCCATGAGGAGTAGAAAGGAGTAGGTATGACAAGACCCTCCTGTGGGTAGTTTCAAATCAAGCTTGGGGAGTAAGGCTCTAGGCCAGGGGCACAGCAGGTATGTCGGCCTTTTGGGTACCCAGCTCTTCAAGGCAGTACCCAGACTGGGAAGGGGAGGGGCCTTCAATGGCTTTTGTGTCCCTGCAACTTGCACAGTGGCATATGGTACATAGATGACGGCCATACTGGGGGCTATAGCCTTGAACATACTGTTTTGGTGATTACTTACGGATCCATATACCTGCCTCTCCCTGGCCAACACCCACCAATGATGGCAGCTACCACCCACTGTCCCCAGTGCACCACATGAACTGACAGCACCTCTTCTGCACCTTGGTGGGGCTTTGGCTAAATGGGGGGCACTTGGAAATGGGCCTGGGCATCACCTGCCTGCTGGCTGGATGCCCACCCTCAGGATGCTGGCTAACTTCCACATCCCACTCTCAGCATCACCCTTGAAAAGGTGGGTAGCTTCTACCCACACTGCACCTTTGGCTCCTCCAGTATTCTAGCTCCTTCCTTCCACCCTGGGATATGGAGAAACTCTACTCTCTGCTCAGGCTGTCCTGGCCCTTGGACTAGTCAGAAAAAGAATCAGGTTCCCTTGCTTCAGTGTTCTCATTACATCTTTACCTGTGCTCCTCCTCAAACACCATCTTTAATGGGGGCCACACATTGCCCTCTTCCCCTCCCCTACCCTCAGTTCCCCCTTTAGATATCTAATTTACCATGAGAGTGGTATCATGAGATCTCCTAAGGCCTCCATTGGTGTCAACTGCTGGTTTGTCTTGTAGAATGTGTACTGTGCCATCTTCCCCAAGTGAGTTGGTTCATGGAAGATCAGAAGTGGAGTGTAAACTGCTTGAATTCCAGCCCTGACCTGGTAGTTCAGTTGGTTAGAGCGTTATCTGATACGCCAAGGTTGGGGGTTCAATTCCCAGTCAGGGCACATACAAGAATCATCAATGAATGCATGAATAAGTGGAACAAGTCAATGTTTCTCTCCCTCACTCTCAAATCAGTTTTTTTTTTTTTTTTTAATGTCAATTCTGACACCATCTCAAATCTCTCTGGAAGGAAAGGGCAGAGGACACCCCTACCTACCAGAGAATCTGTACTGTGATCAGAGCCTTCAGCTGGCCCATGTGGCATTTTTGGAGAGGTAGTGAGAAGGAGCTGAAGGTAATGGGGCAGCATGACAGGAATGCCCGAGAGATGGCTTTTCCCTCCATAGGATCTCCTTCTGTGGTCTTGACCTGGATTCTGGTGGGTATGGGCTGTACACAGGGGCCAATCCACAAGTTGACTTATCCCAAACAACTTCCAGCTTCTTGGAAGTCAGTACAACCCAATGCTCTGTGGTCTGGCTCCTGGGTTCACTTGGGAAGGAAGAGTATACAACCAGTCCTGAGTGGGAAGATTATTGGATGGCTCGAACCTGAAGAGGGTGCAGTTTACTGTAAGGGTGGCCAGGCTCAGCCACAGGTGATCCAGGACTGCCAATGCTGCTGCCAGCACTATCACCGCGGACACAGTTCCATGTTCCATTCACATTCACCTCACATGGCCACTTTCTCAGCAGTAAACTCAAATCAACGGAGATGCCCCCATGGCTCCCCACCCCCCTGCCAAAGCCTAGTCCCAGCAGGTGGGGTAGAGGCTGTTCCAGCTCAGACTCCGCTTCCACCACCTGGCAGGCATCCAGCTCCCAGGGTGCACATGGGTTAACCTAGAGGGGGTGAAGAGTCCGGAGCTGTTGGTGGAGAGGAGGCACAGGAAGCCAGCCAGGATCAATCTACCAAGGCCCTTGGAGACTAGAGTGTCCCGGCCATCGAGCAGCTGCTGTGACACACATTGCACACAGCCAGGGGGCACTGCAGACCCCTTGCCCTAAACTTCAAGTAGGGAGCAGAGGGGAGACGCTTGACATCGAGACGGTTTGCAGCCACCTCTACCCCACTTCTGGCCTTTCCCCAGCCCTCTCAGCTTGTCCTCCGACCACTTTATTGCCTGTGGGCCAGAAAGAACTTCAGAGGTGGTGACCCACAATGACATTAGAGTCCAAGTTGGCCGATGTGCGCCTGGGTCCACCGTGGCTCTGCAGCCACTTATGGAAGCAAAAGTCCCAGCACCTCTTCTTCATGCTCCGTGCAGGTCCGCCCCACTTCGAGTGTTATCAAAACGAGAAGCTTTGCGCTGGTGGAGTACCACCGCAGCTCAGTGTGAACCTGGTGGGTGTGTGCACCATCAGCAAGCACATGGACATGCATCAGGGCCAACTGATTGTCCTCTACACGCGTGACCACAGCCTAAGTGGGTGTGGTGGTGACCAGAGAGACATAGCAGCAGGCGTGGTACAGCACCCTCCAGCAGGTGCACGCCTGACACCGCCGATGAGGCCCAAGTCCGGGGTGGGCAGAGGGTATAGGGGCCAGGATCGAATGGTTGTGGATTTGGTCTATCCATAACCTGTCCCTCCCCTAGGTCACGGAAATCAAACATTAAGCATTTACACTTTATCAGTTATTGGGCAGTGACTCCAACCTCCCTGCCCAGAAGCCTCCTGTGACCATATAATTGTCTTTCCAAGTTCCAGTTACCATAAGGACCCCAAGACCTGGGTCCTCATTCTGTTTCAGGATGTCTGGCCTGTGAAGCTGTGGCCCAAGGAGCTGGGGTGGATGTGAGGCCTGGGCAGTGGCCACTACTGCCTGTGCCTGAGCCTACTGCGGAAGCCAAGGGGCAAAGGTTCGGGGGACACCCTGGCATCACTACCACTGGCCCTGCTCCTGTACATAATCAGCATGTGCTGCTGAGGCCATGCAGACTCCTTCCTAGAACTCAGCCACTCAGGTGCCCATGAGTCCCTGGGAGCTGTGGCTATAGGTGCTAGAGGCTGTGGTGGCCCAAAGCATTCATGAAACTGTCCTGGCCACCATGAAAAGATAGTAGTGCTGGTAGTAGGGCTGAGCCTCTGACAAAGGATCCCCTGACAAGTGCCTCCAGACCCTCTGTCCTCCAACTTCATGGATCCAGATCTTCATAGTCCAATCAAGAGGCCTGAGCTATAAGATGTGTGTGCGTGTGTGTGTGTGTGTGGGGGGGGGTTCCTGGGTGATAGGAGAGAGCAAGCAACCCTTCAGACCCTGAGATGCTAGGGGCAACAGCCTCATACCCAGAGGGCTTAGAGAGGGATGGCCTGGATTAGGAGGGCCCTGAGTAAGTACCCATGAGCTGTTTCTGCCAGGGTCCTCTTCCTGGAGCTCCCTGCCCCATTCCTACAAGCCAGGGGCCAGGGAGCCAGGACACAGGTTCCAGGGCCCCCATCCTGGCACTGGGGAGAGCTGGAAAGCAGCAGGCTATCAGCCCTGCTTGGCCATCTGAGCTGGCCAGGGAGTACATGTACACTGAGTACATGGCCCGGAACTACTCAGAAATGGACACTGCCACCCTGGCCGGTTTGGCTCAGCGGTTAGAGCGTTGGCCTGTGGTCCAGAGAGACCCGGGTTCAGTTCCCGCTAAGGGCATGTACTTCCGTTGCAGTTTGTCCCCGGCCCTGGTTGGTCACGCGGGTGGCAGCCACTCGATGTGTCCCTTTCACATCATTGTTTCTCTCTCTCTCTACCTCTCTCTCCCTCCCACTCTATCTGAATAAAAAATGGCAAAATGTCCTCGGGTGAGGATTAAAAAAAAAAAATGGACACTGCCATACTGGACCCCCCAGACAGTCACCTCAACTAGTTGACCTGGACCTGGTCCCTCCTCTAGAAGCACAAGGCAACACCACCCAGGCCAGCACACACTGCCCACACAGTTACCCCAGTCAAGTTCCAAAACCAATTCTAGAGGCAAGGGTGAGAGCCCACTAGATCTAGCTGACAGATGGACAGTGAGGAGGGGAAGAGAAAGTGGCAAAGTTATGAATGCCTTCCCACCTGTTCTCACAACTGAGGGATTCTAAGGCCCAGAATCCCCCTAGGACTGGTAACCTACAGAGGTACTGAGCTGCCCCTTAGGGCCCACTGCCCACTCGGCCCCTTCTAGCTATGGGGAATCTTCAGGAGGAGGTTCCCCAAGACATTGGATTATTTTAGAGAGAAAATTCTAGAACACACCTCCAAAAAATTCTACAAACTCTGGTCTTTCTCAGCCAACGCTCCAATCCTCTCTGTTTCCCTGCAAAGTTATGCAGCATCAGTCCAGAGTCTCAGGTCAGCCTTGGCTGCCACTCTGCCTCTAATGAGGACTCTCACGAGGACCTATCTCCCCCGCCGCCACCACACACACACACACACCTGCAGTGCCTGCCTGTGTTTACAAGCTAAAGAACTAACCCCAGCTCCAAAGCTGAACTTCTGGGACCTCGGCGCAAGAAGGATGAGAGCACCAGGTATCTTACATTTAGTGTCCCCCAAAAGTGATGTGCCACCCCTTACTCCCAAATATGCCTCTCCCACTGTCAGCCACATGCTTACACAATTCTCCCTTTCCCAGGCCTGGCAGAGCTGATGGAATCCTTGCTTATATACTCAGTCTGGGGAACTGTACCGTGCCTTATTGAAGGTACCTTCTTTGGTCAGTCTGAAAGGGTCTTAGGCTCATGTCCCCCAGCCTACTGTAGGGGGTAGCCAATGAGTAACAAAAATTTTAAGGGAGGGCAGCCAAAGCTGCTATAGAGGAAGAGACCCACTATCCCTGCCTGAGTGCCCCATTCTGTTACCCACCACAAGGAGCCTGTTTGCAAACCAACACTATTTTATTGCCAACAGAACTTCCTGAAAGAGTAGGAGGCCCATGGTGCCAACAGAGGTGCTATGGACAACTGGTGTCAGGGGTCCATGGGAGAGAAGGGTCAGTGCAGTGAGAACAGCTCTGGCCACCACTGGATCCTGGGTGATCAGAGACAGGGTCTGGGGGACCAGAAGGGGGCATGGGAGCTGCTGAGGAACCCATGGAGCTAGGTCTTGGTTCCCCCTGGCTCATCTGTAGGAGGCCAGTGAGGGCAATCAGTTCAGGCCCACTGAGCCAGGCAGTGCAGCAGCCAGGGGACCGGGTGGGGCGGACCTGGGGGGACATGATAGGGGATGGGAGCAGCAGCTTCAGAGAGCCCATCACCTGAGGAGAGAGGAGAGGAAAGTGTCTTCTCCCAAGCCCTGCACGAAGGCTGAAATGAGGCAATGGCAGGAATAGTGCTCACCTGCTGAGGGGCCTCAGACAAGTACAGGGGAACACGCTGCCCAGGGGGCAGCAGAGGGTCTGAAAGAAAGGCATCTTCACAGCACATCACCGGGAGCCCTGGGGAGAAAAAGCTGTTAGGGTGACAGGCTGGGTTTCCCATCCCAAGAGGTGCTACACTGGTTCCCTGAGGAGCTTACAAAGCATTAGTCCTGAGCCTATGGAGACCAAGAAAAGTTACCTGCATCCCTTGGCACCTGCTCGCCCTTCTGAAGTACTGCTGCAGAAGTCAGGGGTCTGGGATCCCTGCCTGAGGCTGCCTCGTACAGTGGCCAGAAGGAAGGATGACACAAAGTCCGGCCTGAGAAGGAGGCACCAGCAGCACAGCTGGGCCCCTGTGGAGGGTCAGGAAAGATCACTAGCTTCAGCCTACTCCCAGAGCATCCTTGCCCCACCCCAAAACTGGAGCCATAGGTACCCCTACATACCCACACCAGCTGAGGTCCTGCTTTAGCCTTGTAGTTGGGGTCCCATGGTGCCAGTGGGGTCATCCTCGCAGAAGCCACTTCACAGGCCATCTGGGGGGAAAGGGGAACTGGGGGGGAGGGGGGGAACTTGAAGAGATTAAAATAGGCTCAGGAGTCAGTGAAAGGTGTAGAGGAGTAGAGGTGGCAAGGCCCAGTACCGACCTGAGGTTCCTTTGGACTGCTCAGCCATCAGGCCTGAAGCAGGTGGGGCCAGCAGCGGTTCTCTCTGGGTCCAGGAAAACGTTGGGGACCGGGACTGAGGGCTGGGGAGTAAAGGTACTCAGATACCCCTGTCATAGCCCCCCACCCCACCCCACCCCCGCAAGTCTGAATACTTCCATAACAAGGCCTAAGGTGCCTGGTGCCAGGAGACTGAACATACCCATTGTTTGGTGTGGACCACTGAGATTTCCTCCCACTGTAGTACCCTTCCCCGTCAGATTTCCCACAAGTGCCTCCAGTGTGCCCCCTCACCTGTTCTGTGAGGGTGTACCTGGCTCCCCCAGGGCTTCCTCTCCAGAGCTCCAAGCCATGCTGGGGTCACTGCACGGTGAGGGGCCCTGTTCCTCAAGCGCCTGCTTCTCACCAGCGTCCCACCGCGGAAAGGGCCACGGCAACATGCCACGTCTTGGGGTAGGGAAGGGCAGGGCCGCACCTCTGTGCCGTGCCCTGCGCTACCCGGGCCTTCCACCCCACCTGCCCTGGCCCCGACGTGGTCCCAGCCTCCCTCAGTGTTGGGCACTACCCTGCGGTCCCCAGTGAGCCCAGGTTGCCCGCCCACCTCACCCACCTCCCTCACAGGGCCTCGCAGTGATGCCGGTGCGTTCCTAGTGCGTTTCCGGGCCACGTGGCACGCGCTCCCGCTGGGGTCCCGCGGGTGCCCCCTGTCGGTGGGGTCGGCGCAGCCGACCTTCCTCTAGCACCGTGTGAAAGGGTGGCGCTAAGCAAAGGTCACTTTAGAACCCAGCTGTGGACATGGAGGGGACCCCTTTTCCCGCAAAACGTTGCTTTCACTGCTTTCATTCGCAGACATACAAATGAGCGGCAACTTAGAGACCTTCTGGCTTCTTTATTGCACTTGATACAACATCCGGTGCCCCATCTCCATCCCAGACCCTCAGCCACACCCAGAAGAATCCAGGCACCTTGCTGGGCAGGACTGCTTCCAACCCCTTGGGTAAGGGGTGCCTGAGGAACAGGGCCAGACCTAAGGCCGCCCTCACCAGTCCTCTCTAGAGAGCAGAGCCCAGGCATGGCTGTCTTCTGTTCCTGGATCCCAGGCTGGTCGTGGCCCTGCGCCCCTACCTCAACCCCTAAGACTGCTCCAGCAGTGCGTGGACGACAGCAGCGATGTAGGGGAGGCCCCTTCCCGGGGCCCCCTCCTCTTCCAGGATGTGGTGGGGCTGGCACAGGGACTCCTGGGGGGGAGGGGCCCAGATTAAGTCCCCCTTTACATCTCCTCTGGGCTTCCCAGCCCTTGGCAGAGGGCAGGGTGGGAGACACTCTAAAGGAGCCTGGTCAAAGGGAGCTGACAGGATGGCCCTTAAAAATGTAGGAGACAAAGGTCAGGGGCACCCTGGACATGCCTTGAGGACAAATGAGATGCAAGTAAGCTGCCAGCACATAACAGAAGGGAGATGACACTGGAGCCAAGGCTCAGGAGGGAGAAAAGACCTGTCATTTCTAGAGGGAAATGCTGGAATAGGCACGCACATGGAGCCCAATGGGCACTGCCAGGACTGGACCTGGCCACAGTAGGAGCAGACGCAAACACACACACACACAGGCAGCCACAGTCTGTACAATTTATACAAGAGATGGGGACCCAGCTTGGGCCCTGCATCTCCTACAAATATAGAGTTCTCTCTACAAAATATAGATAATTTAGCCCCCTGTATCGAGGGTGGGGAGTAGGAGATGGAGAGTGAGAATAGGAAAGTTAAGACCTACCCCCTCTGGGGGAGCAGAGGGCAGGGTTGGGTGGGAGAGGGCATGAAGGCACCATCAGCACTGAGATGGGAGGGGCCAGAGGCTGGGGGCCCAGGGTCTGGGGACACCAGAGTGGGGCCTCTGAGATCAGTGTTTGTGAGGGGGGACTTCACTAGTGTCTTTGGTAGGGGCTGAAGGCACCACAGGTGGGCATGGGGGTTGCACAGGAGTCTTATAAATAGAAATAGGGCGAGGTGGTGAGGGAAGGGTGGCTTCAGGTCCTAGGAACCCAGGAACCGAGTGTAGACGACATAGAGCAGCAGCATGAGGACCATGTAGAAGAGGATGAAGCCGCCCAGACCAGAGGGAGGCCAGAGGGGTGGGGGGGCCCTGCCCCCCACCCGCTTCACAGCCTCCAGGGTGGTCCACAGCCCCTGGACGGTGCCCTGGAGGAGATCCGAGGGCGAGCACAGGTCAGCCTGGGAAGGGAGAGTAGGACAGATGGACAAGGACAAAGGGCAGACGTCAGCAGCAGCAGCAAGACAATTCCTTCCACCCCCTTCCCTTACATGCCAGGGCTGAGCCACACCAACATGCAGAATGCAGGGAAGGGAGGCACACAGGGAAGGGAGACATGCAGGACAGGAGCTTCCTTCTGGGGAGCAGATAACCCCTGTGAATGGAACCCTGCTATCCATGCAAAGAGCTCAACTAAGCCCAGGACACCACCACTCTATAATAGAGACCAGCCCCAGGCTCCTGAGACCCCCCCATACCTCAGGCACCCCCATTTTTCGACAGGCTTCTAAGAAACTCTCCACATTCTTCCGAGACTTGAGGGTACTGAGTTTTGGCTGGAGATGTGTAAGAAAGGAAAAAGAGAAGAAAATAAGGGAGGGGTCATAGGAGACCCCTGTCCCATCCCTACTTCCCACCCTGGGCCCCAACTAACCACAGCAGGTGAGGGTACATGAATGAAGGGCACGGAGCGGGGTCTCAGCTGGTTGGCCAGCTGACAGAGGATGACGCCATTGGCCAGAGCCTCTGCCAGGTCCTCAGGCAGGGGCCGCTGCAGCTGTGACTCAAGGACCTGAAAGGCAGTGAAAGGGTGTGTGTGTAGCGTGAGAATGTCTGAGTCAGCAGGAACTCCAACCTGCCTCTCCTGTCCTCAAAGCACCAGAGTAGACAAAAAGGATATTGAGGGAGGCCAGGGAACTCCATGAGGTGCCGCACTGAGCCCAGGCCCCATTCATGCAAATCCCACCTCTTTTACCTGGCGCAATTGAGCCATCAGCTCCTTCTCATCCAGAAGTTGGGGGGATCGCCGAGGTCTCAAGACAGAGTCTGGTGAGGAAGGACCTGGTGAAAAGGAGGGTATGTGGGCTGTCTTCACTACCACTTTTGATTTTGTAGCTGGGTTGCCGTGTCTGGCACCCACATCTCCTGTCTCTCTGCTTGTGAGATTTTCAACACAAAGGGACAATTGACCAGAGAACTCACAGGCCAGAAGGGGTGATTGTAGCCCAGGGATTAGTGCTGGGTTAGCACTGGGTTAGTACTGGGTTAGTACTGGGGAGGAGAGACCCACCTGAGCCACTCTGAGAGGAAGAACGGAAAAGGAAGCTGTTTGGTCTCTGGATGGAGCCAAGTGGCCGAGGAACGGGCGCTGTCACTGGGGACAAGAGGCAGGGGACAGGGGCAGATGAGAGACATCCCCTCAGAGTCCCACTCTTTCCTCAGTTCACCCCTCACCTACACAAGCCCCCATCCTCTTCCCAAAGCCCCTGTCACACCTGGTCCAGCTATAGGAAGGGGCTCCTGGGAGGTGAGGGCTGAGACAGAGGCAGGAGCTCTCTGTCCCCCTGAAGCTCCCAGTTGGGTGGCACTGGACTTGGGCATGCCGCTGAGGAGAGACAGAAAGGTAATTAGAGGGGATGTTCAGGGGGCAGGTGTGCAGGGAAAGAGCTCAGGGTGGTGCAGTCTAGGACACATACTTGTAAGTGGCTTGAGTGGACGAGGCAGCAGTACCTCCACCAGCAGCTCTGACCCCCAGCTTCATAAAACTAGAAAATGAAGGAGTTGTGGGGTCAGCAGTATGAGGAGCAGAGCTGCTTAGGAGGGCTCATTTCCACTCATTTCTAGGGCCCACCTCCCAGCAAAAGCCCCTGGACCACACCTGTCCTTCCTGGGGGCCCCCCACATTCCACTCTGTTGCTGTTGCTGCTGCTGCTGCTGCTGCTGCTGCTGCTGCCGCCGCTCACGCTCCTGCCACAACTGCAAGGTGTCCGGGCGCCGCCGCTCCTCTCCAGACAGCTCCTCCCGCCTGAGGGGCAAAGGCAGGATGAGATGGGTAGAGCAGGTCAGGGAAAAGGAGAAAGGGTGCAGGGAGATGGAATAAAGGGAGGAGGTGCCGGCTCAGGTGGCTCTGGTACCTGCTGTTTGGTGCCCTCTCCCTGTCCCCTGACACAGGGCTTAATTCTGGTGGCCGCTGCTCCTAAAGAAAGAGCAGCAAAAGGGCTGAGGGAGTACCTATCTCCAAACCTGCACTGGCCCCTCCCTCCAGCTCTGCTGTCACAGCAGATGAACATATGGACAAGGGCTGGCCTCTCACCTTGGCAGCACCTCGCTCTTCATCCTCCCCAGGCATGTGGCTATCAATGAAGTCAATCTGCTCAGGGTCTCCATCAGCTGGAGAGGCAGGACATGTCAGCAAGCAGATGGGGGCCTTCAGGCTTGTCCATTCCCCTTAGCCCCAGGGCTCCTGACACGACCACTCACCACAGCCATCCTCCTTCCGCTCCCTGGGCCCCCGAGGTTCCCGGGCCAGCTCCGAGATCCGAAACGACAACTCCGAAAAGTCATCCGTTGACTGTAAATGCAGAAAGTCAGAAATAGAAGACAGCGTCTCTGTAGTGCTGGGAGCTCATGGGTTCAGGGCCCTGGGATCTGCTGCTAAGCCAATCCTTCCCCAGGATACTTGGGCAAGGGAAGAAGACAGTTTCAGCCGCCATCTGCCACTCTCAGATTAAGAAGTAAAATGCAAAGGGTTCGGGCTCAGAGGTTCTCCCCCAGGGCTCAGACTGCCTTGGAAAGGAGGCACTTACCTCATTTCCAGACCACCTCTTGCTGCCACTGTCAACACTGTGGAAGCCTGAGTCCAGCCCACCATCGTACCGACGTCCCGGAAATAAGTCCTCAGCTGGGCTAGGGCCAGCCGGGGAGAAGCTGGTCAGTCCTGTACTGGGTAGCAACCCCCATCCTCCCTCTGGAAACCATGGGGACCTTGATGCCAAGAAGGGGCTTTAGGGATCCAGAAGTTTCCTTTCTTCCCACACCCTTATTTACCAAGGGCTAAAACTTGGGGGGCGGGAAGGGGCCAGGTCACCCAGTGCAGTGCCTCCACGCCGTCCAGCCTCTGTTGACAAGTACTTGAAGATGTGAAGTTTCCCCTTCAGGCAGATCTAAGTGTGAAAAGGAGCATTAAAGGAGTTAGGGGGAAGTGAGGGGGCACCGGATCCTGCTTGGTTACCAAAGGGACCCACCCCCCCAACTCCTGCCCAGTCTCAGCCCTGTCCCCAGTGTCCACCCCAGGCCCACCACTCACCTGGGCAGGCGGGCTTTGCAGGGGGTTGCTGTCCAGCAGAATGACCTGCAGGTGCCTGAGGCGGCAGAAGGAGACGGGGATGCAGGAGATGCGGTTACAGGAAAAATCCAGACGGACAAGAGGAAGGTCCCCCAGCTCTGGGGGTGGGTGAGAAAATAGTCAG